ATGTTCAGAAGACCGACATATCTTTATGCGATTCAAAGGTAACAAAGACAGAAAAGATGCAAATAACCTTTTCCGTTGGTTGATTTTAAGTAGAACATTTTCCAAATATTATCGTATACGCAACCCTTAGCAGGTTAAGAATTTTAGCTCATAGGTACCAAATTTACATAAAGTCTAACTTAGCCCAATGGCCACTCCTAGCGCTTTATTATGACTTTACAAAGTAACTGTATTTGCCGTGTCTCCAAACTTGAAGCGAGCAACGACGAAATACAAAGTTAGAGAAGCTTTCTTGATGTAAAATAACAACACAAGCCGATAGATGCAAAAATCCATCGTGTCAAAAGGTTTTTCCAAGCATTTTTTTTATCAAAATCAACTCAATTTCATGTTATGCTTTTCTCCACACTCTCTCCAGGATACCTTTGTTGCATGATAGAGGAAGTCCTGCCGTGTGACCAAATCGTCTGGATCTCTGACACAATCAGAATCACTCAGCTCGCACACGTGATCACCATCCTTGTTTGGACCAAAGTTGTATGATTCACACGTGGCTTTAATGAAACATTGTATTTCACAAATCTCTGCTGTCTTTACCCTCGGTATGCTGATCACCTGATTTAGGAGAGCCTTGTTTGCAACTGGCTCCTTAAACTCTTTTGTTATGCATGGAACTATTTGAATATTCACAACACCGAACAACTACATAATTAAAGATATATTTAACTAAAAACATCAAATTATGAATTATTAGGTACTAAAAACTGCGCAGATAAAATAAAGCCATATTCTTAACGCAGATCAAGCGAACTTCATGGGCAAAAGATTGATATGCATAGTGCAGCTTTGTACATATTCAAAAGAGTTTTAAATTGCATCAGGGATTATGAAATATTATCGAGCGCTTTCTTATAGCAAAATGCTTTAAGTTGTTTCTTAAAGGAAAGTAAGCTGCTATAGTCTCTGATTAATGAGGACAACGAGTTTCATAAGGCATAGGAAGCATGCCGGAGAAGAGCATTTGACCCGTGGAACGAACAGAAGAGGTTGTGCTGAGAAACGAAGAGCAGGATTAGAAGCAGGTTTTAAGAGAAAAAAAATCATTAATGTGGGGCAGACTTGGATTGTTAAACACATAAAAAAAAAAACAATTGTATTTAAATGAACTCTAAATGGTATATATAGGAAGCCAGTATAAGTCGATGAGAGCCGGTTGATGTGGTCAAATTCCGTAATCTGGAAAATCATTCATATATGGTTTCTTTAAAAATAAAAAGGCTTCACTTCATGACAGCGAGCAAATTGCGAAACGAGAAGACTGAAAAGCTCATAATGTCAGCTTCTTGACGTCTGGTGTAAGATTTCGTGAGGTAGTCTAAAAATTACATGTGGCAAAAAAAAGGCTGGACAGAACATGGAGCAACAAGCCTTAACCTTTAGTTATTCAAATGAAAATATAACTAATTGAGGTGAAGGTTAAGTTTTCAAACCGAGTGTTTATTTGTATTGATAAGAAAATGATACGTATCATCAGAGCCGTTAGAGATAGATGTTAAAGTTAAAACAGGCGACTAAAGACCTTATTCTTGGTAGAAATGGCTAAAGGAAAAGCTGCCATCCGGTTACATGGAACTCGGAAACCAAAATCTATACTATTCTCTTCGATTGATAAGATGTTTTCGTGGACAGAATTTGACTCTGGAAGTAAATTATTCTAGTTGTGTAGGAATAACAAATCAGAATTCCCCTACCTTTTTCTGACAGGTCATTCCACGACAGCCTTCCCAAAACCACGGAAAGAAACGCTAAACATGACTGAGAACCATTCATGAGATCCAGTAACCAAACGATACCTTCCCTTTGCGGCTTTACAGGTTCAATGATGTTTCTTTCTCTGCCGATAGGCTTTATATGATGATTAATCGACAGCGTTTGTCTTTGATATGACTGGCGGGTATATTAACACAGAATGTTTAGATTACAGTTGATTTCTCTTTTGTGTCAACAAACATAATTATGCCAATTGATATTTGATCAGAGGACTTCTACGCCCCAATGGCAAACTTTACTCCGATACTGGGTCTCTGAAAAACCCTGGAGGTTTTCACCTTTTGTTGAGAGATGTGCATTCATTCACATCCATAACCAAATTAATACATATCTTTTAATGAAGTCTTTTCAAGAAAACTGCATTAAGCTTTAACGGGTGTCCCGTCTAAACTATGAATCCCTCTTGCATAATATGTATCTTTAGACTTATTTCTTGTTTTGCAGCTTTGTGTACGGCCTTAGCCGTATCTCAGAGCCAGACTTTAAGGCCTTCGATTTTGCTGACAATGTGGATGGGCGAAAGTTAAACGGGAGCTGATAAAAGAAATGGAGTTAGGAAATTTGTTGTCAGTCCGAGTGCGTGGGTGCAGAGTGGTGGGTGCAGAGCTTGAGTACAGAGCGGTGTCAGTCTTACAACTTTAAAACCTTGAAGGGCAACTCAGGGAACTTCAAGTGTCAACTGAGTGACTGATTGATTAGCTGGATTTGTTAACTCCGGTTAGGATTTAGAGTTTTACTTAAATGAATGCTGAAAACAATAAAAATTTAAGACTCGTTCTCCATCTAAATAGTTTTAGGGATACTTATAATGCTTCGGTTTTGCAAAATCATGCTCAAAAGATGAGGGAAAATATCGTTTTAAAATGAAAGTTCCAGTTGACAGGTAATGTGACAGTATTCAGATAGCTCTATCAATAATATTTTCAAAACGATTACAAATGGCAATTTGCTACTTTACTCATTAAATATATATGCGTTATTAACCAAGCGTGTGGTCGAGATGACTGAATATCGGCTGAGTTCTATTTTTGCATTTTTATGAACCGAGACGAAGTCGAGGTCCATCAAAATGCGAAAAAGAACGAGGCTAATATCCAGACATCTTAACCGAAAAAGCTTGGTTGATAAAGTGTTTATTATAATTCAAAAAGATTTTGCTTTATTAAGAATTGAGGATGACTTTTTTATTCTTCGAGAGCCAAACTGTGTTTGTAGCACAACAAACTCACAAGAGTCGTTTCTATTTTCTTCGTTTTGACTATCTTCTGCCGCTTTTTGCGTTTCCATCGCCGAAATTGTCCAAGAATTACGAACTTCGTTCTAATTCTATTCTATTCATGCGCGGGATCAATGTGGGCAATCCCGAGCGGGCAAGACGGACCCTTCTTGCTCGCTTGAGTAGCCAATCATACTCGCTTCATCTTGCCCACGAGTGCTGCGAGCGATGTAATAAACACAAATATTTTAACCTAATCTAGGATATTTAAAACACCACAAAATTTAAGAATTCTTCCCCCAATGGGTAATGTTATGGAATGTTATAATGTTCCGGTTTTCCAAAGGGGCTCCAGAGGGTTTTTGATCGCGCGAGATCTGGATGTAAACATGGCGCGAGCTTTAAAAATGTCTACAAGTAAAACAAACATGGCAGCTCGATACGATTGTTATCTTAAAAGGTATGCTAAAACGTTATAAGACAATGCACGTTTTATTAAATGGACTCTAATGCCTCTAGAAACTATACCTATGACATCCAGAAGCCTTCTACAACTACAAAAAAAAAGTCGACAGAAAAGAAAACACCAGGGGAAAGATTGCACAAAGGTGACAGATTTGAACGTTTACGCATAATTAGATATCGATCTCGGCGAAGCGCTATTTTACGACGTAATGCTTTCGGAGTTATAGATTCATGTTCGTGATATTTCAAAACTCCTCAAATATAGCTCGCAGCTTTGCGGCTCGTGATATTTTGGGGAATTTTGAAACATCACTCGCATTTAATACCAAACTGCTCACACTGCCACGCTATTTCCATTACTAATACTCTTGGAAACCACCGTGAGATAAAGGGACCAGCTGATGAGGAATGCGACTGAGTGTAGACAGCTGTCATGCTTTCAATATACTTTAGAAATGCGTCTTTAACTTTGGCAAGCCGCTAGTTTACTGAGTAAATGTAAAAAAAAACTTTTGAACAGGTTAAGAATACTAAAAATGGTAGTACAATAGAAGTAACCAATCAATAAGGTATACCAATACCTCCCTTATTGTAGTTTTCCTTCATTCCTTCATATTGACGAGCAATTTCTAGACGGCTTGCCAATCGCTGCAATAGTTAAAATTTAATGGAGCTTTGAAAATCCACAGGTGATGCATCATATTCTATTATATAAGAGATCCTGTTGGTTGCAAGAAGTGATCATCTCAATGCACACCTCGGATCTTTCTCGTCGTGACATGACTTAAGGACCATATTGAAATACAATTGGACATTTTTAGGCGACATGCATGCTTCAGGCTCAGATTATAGTTTGAGTGTTTTGCAAAATCAAGGACCAATGCTATTGATATAATAGCTATTTCATTTACGTCTTTTACAAAATGGATCAAACGTTGTCGTTGATGGCTTTTTCTATCAAAAATGGCTTTTCATGATTCAGGCTCTCGAACTATAACCATGGAGCGAGCCATTTTGCACTGAAAGGTCGTTTTGCTGATTTTAAGCCCTGAAATCGCGTATCCCCTGAAACGAATCTTGCACCCAGTTTCAACAAAAATGACTGTCTCAGTACAAAGACTGTAGGACTGTAGGAAGACTGCGCAACTAGTTTTCCATAATACGGGGTCGAAACTTCATCTCCGTGCGCTTAAGTGAGTATTGAAATCCTCTGAATTTTACCCAGCAAACACCATCGGCCTTTGAGCTATATGGCCCACTGTGATAGATACCGTTGAGATTTGAGCGATGGCAATTTTTGTACCACCAAGCACCTTTGAACCTCGAAGCACAATGATCCCTGGAATGTTTGTCGTTTTCACTATCTTTTGTCGAAAACTGCATATCACTAGAAACATGATGAGAGTAAGAAAACATTCACAACCATGAATCTCAGTTATGGGTTAGGGTTATCCCATGAATCTTATGGGTCACTCCAAGTAGCATTACCAGCAGCAATACCACCTCCTCCCATTTAGCAAGGTTGGTTTCACTGGACCTCGTGTGCGTTTACAAGAGAGAAACACTATAAGGAAACTAAGGACAAGGGTTAGCCGTAATTAGAAAAATAATATATTTGAAGTCGATAATGTAGGAAATGGTTGCCCAGTCTTTCGAGCCAGCGGCTCATATCAAAAACACTCGACTTTAGGTCGAATTCGAATTTGTAATGTTTGTTTTTGCGGAGGGAGGAAAACCGGAGGACCTGGAGAAAAAAGCTCTGAGCAAGGACGAGAACCAACAACAAACTCATTCCACATGTGACGCCAGTTCGGGAATTCAACGCGGGTCACAGTAGTGAGAGGTGAGGGCTCTCACCACTGCGCCATCCCTGCTCCCCGAAAGTTAAAAGTATAACGAGAATCATCCTATTCCAATACTCCCTGTATTCAACGTTTCCCCTTTTTTCATCAGATGTTTTTTTTCCTCACCCCAGAACTTACAGAGCAGAATATTTGTGCAGTTTAAGTACCTATCACTGACAGGCTCAGTCAGTTCAGCAAGTTCATATTCCATGGCATTTTATTGTCCACAATTCATTTACCTTAGCGAAAAGTCACCTGCCATAGAATCGCCAGCCGTGCCATTGTATCCTCCGATCAAAAGCCGGTACTTATCTGCCTCGTCTGCCACCTTAAAAGTCGTGTACTCCGCGTAGACGACGTTGCCATCAAAGTCTTCCAAGTCAACTCTTAACTTGACGTCATCAGCGGCTGTCAAACGGTGAAGATTGTCGTTTCCAAGCCAGAACTCGCCGCTCAAATTTCCAAACCCGTTTTTGTAGGATTCCCATCCAAGAAAGAAGTCAACAGAGCCGTCCAAACGTCTTTGAAAAACGGTCCAACCTCCACCGTCCGTTTTCATGTCACACAACACTTGGATTGGACTGTTGCCATCAGGATTGATGGTGTATAAGCCACTGGAATTCCAACCGGATTGAAGCAGTTCGGCACAGCTTTCTGCCGGCTTTATAGCTATGGAATGGTATAAAAACAAACAAGAAAACAAACAAACAAGAAAAATACATACGAACAAGCATACATACAAACTAGCATAGAAAAAAAAAATTGTCAAGTGACACGCACCGTACCGTAGGCGGTAAACGTTTGCCGAGTAGTAGGGCACATTACTCATGAACACAACCAGAGAATATGAATTGAGAGAACTTATAATTATTCGCCATACGTACCATTCTTGAAAGAAATTTGTTTTCGTTTTAAATTTTAGTGCGGGTTCCTGCGATGCCATTATTTTGAGAACAACAGCTGATGGGAGGCCGAGAAATAAGAGCATTTTCCCAGCGTGGCGTAAAATTTGAAATAGATTTTTAAAAAAAATTACCATGGGTCACGGGGATACGTCTCTCAGTTTATGATTTCTTATTAGTACATAAAACTTATAATGGTTGTTCTAAAGATTATCGTGAGGATCGAAGTTTCTTTCAAATGCTTACAAAGTAAATCGAGACTTGTGTCTTGCACCTGCTCCTGGTTGCAGCTATAGCTGCCAAGTTGGGCTGAAATTCAGCAGGGGGGGGGGGTCGTAAGAGTTATCCTTACTTTAGAAGAAATAGGTTCAACATTTGTCTGAGCCACTTTCCGATTTCTCGGATTGTGTTTGTGTCATTGCTAAAAATATTCCATCATTCCCCTCAATGTTTTAATAGAAGTTAGGCCAAACCATAATTATAAATATAACAGCTGCAACACGTACCGCAAGTTGGGCCTCTGTAGCCATCCTTACATTTGCATCTTACGCTGCCATCTTGATAGTTGGGGATGCAGATTCCTTTTTCGCCGCAAATGGAACCACCATTCTCACAAGGACTCTGTGTTTGAAAGATGCCAAATTTAATGTAAGTGCTAACTGTTTACAGCTATTGCACTCAGCATGCATCGGAAAAATTTCTCGTGCTAGAGGACAACGATCAGATTTTGCATAACTTGGGCTTTTTCAACTAATGTGATTGGGTCAACTTAATCGAGACTCGGTATAGCCACTTCACATTATCAACTCAGTTAATGAAACTAAATCATCCTGCAATAACCCACCGACGCAGAACCATAGTTTCCTTGGAAACGTATCCGCTTTAACAATTATTCATGCGGCTCTGTAAATTAAATTGTTAGAATTTCATAACGAACGGCCATGAAATTTTTTATCTCTAGATAGTTTGTCATCGTTATGTTTATGTCTTTTAATGAAAGCTGGGTGGCAAACTAATAAATTGGTTAAGTGTACATTGAATCAGAGAAGAAGTTTTACGAAAACAGTAATAATGATGAGTTTTCGAACTTGTCTTTTTCTACGTTGTGCCCAGTTACGCAATACCTGTATTCCCCTGTAAGAAAATTTGTCCTCTTGAGTGAAATTATCTGCTGCAGCAAATCGATCGGAGTCGCTTAGCTGACATTTGAATCTTTTCCCGTCTTCCGCCGATCCAAAGTTGTAAGAAAGGCAACGGCTTTTAGCCACACATTTCAGCTGGCATGCATCTTCTGAATCCTCTTCTGTCTCCGCAATAACCCTCCCAATAAGTTTATGTCCAATGATCTCTGCTGCAAAGTTTAAGGCATGTAAATCATTTGTATTTACCCGACCAAGTCCTAATACCATCGTCGCTGGCAAACAGACTGAGAGCCAGAAGAAGAACATGTCGAGTGTTCGTTGAGTTGGATGTTGATATAAAGTTCGACTTATGCACTGTGAATCTTACGCTTCGATTCCAAGTTGACTTACATGATTTATTCATTGTTATGCTTTCAATAACAGCAGGGTCATCAGTCATATACATATATTTATATTAAAAAACTATTCATTTCTCATCAACCTACAACAGTGTTTAAAGGTTTCTCAGAACTTTAATATAAGCGTGCTCTGTAAACGCGCCCTCCTGAAGACAACTGAAACAAATGCATTTAAAAAGAGGTGTGATTTTTACAAGATCTCTTTTCAAAATGCTCCTTTCATATTTAAAATGTCCAAAAGTTGTGAAGTGGTCACAAATTGAACTTGACAAGATGCTGATAAATTTTTGTGTGTGACTTCTGGAATCCTTCATCAGTTTAATAGTCTCAAACTAATAGAGTTGGCAAACTAAAGAACTCTTCATCCGGTCTTAAACTTAAACATAATAGATTGAGGATAGAAAGAGAAGTACTCATAATTGTAAAATGAAATTCTGCAGTTCTTTCCATTCATCTAAAATTCTGGTCTTCATTTTTAGTCGTGGGTAGGCGAAGCGTACAAACGACTATTAGAATGAGGCGGAATATGCAAATGTATCACTCACTCAGATGTAAACAAATCGGAAATTATACAGGACGCCTCTATCACATTTCCGAAGTAATGCTACGACGTTGAAATTTAACTCGACCTTTCTTCGAAGGAATTTCGATTTTAATTAAAATACTCGTCGCAGTTAGCACACGTGTAGCCGAGTCAAAGCTCTTTGAAATACTAAAGGTGTAACTATGAGGAGGGGGGCTTAGGGATTTTCGGTTATGCGGTTTTGACTGTCTTTTGGATCGGTTTTTCGGTTTTTGGGCCAAAAAGGTTTGGTTTTTCGGTTTTGATGTTCAGAGCGGTTTGCGGATTTTATGTGTTTTTGCATTCGGTTTTCGGTGGCATTGGTTAAAATCTGGACTGGACTCTGGACTGGACTCTGGACTGGACTGGACTCTGGACTCTGGACACTGGACACTGGACACTGGACACTAAACACTGGACTCTGGACTCTGGACTCTGGACTCTGGACTCTGGACCCTGGACCCTGGACTCTGGACTCTAATTTTACTTTTACTGTTAATCTATGCATGCAGTTTTACCAGCGGTTTTACTAGCTTAAAAAACTGATAAATTTGTCACTGCTTGTGAAAACTCGATGAAACAATTCCGGTTACCGTAAGTACTCGAAGTGCTGGAAAAAAGATGAGTTTCGGTACTCGTTACTATATACGAGATGTATACGGTCTACACGGTTTTTTTTTAATGAAATGTGACATTGTTAAATGGTATAAATGGCAATGTCCTTTCAAAGTCGCACAGGTTTGCTTTTCATTTCCTTGATAGAAATATCTATGTGAGCACATAGCTCATTTCGATTTCGCAAAAAGTAGTTTTCTACAAGGTTTTGAATTTAAGGTTAAAAACGTGAGCCCCAAAAACACCTTAAAAAACCACTTTCTAGCAGAGAATGTTATCATATCCTGTGCGAAAATACTTGCGGGTGTTTTGTTG